CAGAGGCAAACTGTACAATTCGTTGACACAGGATGTGTTGGATGCCAGCACTTCACATCAGTTGAATAAGAGTCTGGGTAAATTCATGGAGGGGAAAAAAAAACAACATCCACTAAGAGCACCTCTGGCTTAGGATGCCTCTAAGCAACAAATTGCTGAGGCATGGTTGAGCAATGTGGAAAAGTAACTTCATGTGCTTCTCTTGTTCCTGTACTTTTCCTTCCTAGCCGCTGTCAGAGAGAGGATACTGTGCTAGATGAGTCTTTGACCTGGCCTTAGTATAAATATCACAAAGAGGAGATCAGCCTAGGCTAATCACCCAACCGGTTCCCCAGTTCTCAGAAGGGTTTTGCAGCCCACAATACAGTTCCACAGCCATACTGCCAACAGTACAAAGATATATAACGCAAAATAACTTCAGATATGTGTCTACGCAAGCTGCAGTAACACACTGGAATAAAGTGTAGCCAGATCCATAACGATGAAGTAGTCCTCTCCTGCCTGCTCTAGGTGACCCTGCTGCCTGCTCTAGCTGACCCTGCTTCGGCGGGGGAGTGGACTAGATGACCCACAGAGGTCCCTTCCAACCCCTAACATTCTGTGTTTCTGTGATTCTCTGGCTGTTTTCCTGGTGCTTTTTCTGGCCTTGCAATGGGAATAGAAGTGGATTTAGCTGCCCAAAGGATGAAAATTCTCATGAACACCAAGCAGAGTAATTGCCACTTGGAGCAGATCAAGTAATACTAACTTCTTAATGTTCCCTTCTGCCCATTTCTCAGAGGTCCTGCTTCAGAGATTTGCATGGGAACAAGCAGTGAGGTTGCTGAGACACAATGCCTTGTGGCAACATAGCTGAACCCACACCTGGCTGGTCACAAGGGGTCCCTACAGGTGCTAGCCGAGTGTTTTTTGAAGTACAAACCATGAAAACCTGTTTTCTGTGAAGGGTGAAAAAGAAAGTCCATTATCAGCAGACTTCTATTTGCTTTAAAAAAAAAAATCTGTATTTTCATTTAAAACCTTAGGGGCTTGCTTGTCTGCAGTTGAACAAAATCAAACTAGAAACCACTGTCTTAACTTACAGCAGGGTCAAGAATGACCAGTTCATATAATCACACTCTTCCCAAAGCCCGATTACCATCTCTTCTCTCCCCCGATCAAAACTGCTGAAGGTGACCTCAGGAAACCAAGAATATGGCCCTGTTTCCTAAACCATGATAAATAAAAGAAGCATCTAATCATCCATATGCTTTTTTTCCACTAATCAAAGATTACATTTCCTGGAGAATGCTGTGCTATATATGTATCAAAACATTACAGCTCCCAAAAAGTTTACTGGTGGAAAATATAATGTGCATACTTTATGTATGTGCTAGCCTGATTGATCAAAAG